GCGGGCCCCCGCTCTCCATGGCCGAACGTAACGACGAGCAGAGCAGGAGGAGGAGGAGAGAGGAGGGAGGAGGAACTGTCCATCTTAACATTGCCCAACAAGTGACCTGACGCGAGTCATAGTGTACATGAAATTCAAAAAGTACTTCATCGTGATATGCGCAATCGGAAAAAGAGCTGCGTACAGTGGAGGAGGTTGGGGGTGAGCAGGAGGATCAGCGGGAGGAAGAAAAGAAGGAAGATAATCAAAAAGGCGGAGGACGAGGACAAACTGCAACAGCAGGAGCCGGAGCAGAAGAAGCTGGAGGAGCAGGAGGACCAGGGAGAAACGGGTCCTGGTGATCTTTTCAGGCTACCCTGGCGGCGGAGGGCACAGGAGGGGGGCGGCAACGTTAAGGAAAGACTCGGATCCAGAAAACCTGATCGGACAAGACCGGGAAGCGCCGATGTTGTCCATTGGGCTCGCAGGGGGAAAAGAAGACAAGGCTGATGGCAACGACAAGGCGGCGGGTGTCGGCAATGGCAGTGTGGATGACGGGGAGGGCAGCGAGGGGAGCAGAAGGACAACAAATATGAAGACAACCACGAGGACGAGAAGTAAGAAATGGAGGAGGATGAGTACAAGGAGGAACGAAGCGGAGGAGGAGGAGGAGAAGAAGAACGACGACGAAGACGAAGAAGAACGGTAAAGAGCCCGACAAAGGGCACGTCGAAGAAAAGAGGGGTCCTCGTGATACTTTGAGACAACCCTGGCGGAGGAAGGGAAAGGAGGAGGGCGACAACGACAAGGAAAGACTGGGGTCCAGAAAATCCGCCACCGAGCATGCACGGAATGGGCTTGTCAGAATGGTTCCTGTTGTTTTGCAGATGGTTCCCCGCATCATAAGTGGGGTTCTTGCCTTCTCTGCAACCCCCCCCCCGCGCAAGAACGTCACCCACCGCCCCTCTCCTCCTCTCATCGCCATCCCACCACCACCACCACCATCCTCATCATCATCATCATCATCATCATCATCATCATCATCATCATCATCATCATCATCATCATCTTTCATATCATCATCATCATTCATCCGCATCCTCATCCTCATACTCATCCTCATCCTCATCCTCATCCTCTCCTCATCTATCATCATCATCTTCATCATCATATTCATTACCACACCATCCTAATCCTCTCTCCTCGATCTCCTACTCATCCTCATCATCTCACCATCTTCATACTCATCATCATTTAATCTTCTCATCATCACATCTCATCATCATCGTCGTCATCAGATCATCAGTCTTCTCATCTCATCTCATTTGACTTCCGCAATCTTTCTATCTGTCACGAAGAAAGCATCTCCGTCGTCAGCAACAGCATCGTCAGCATCAGCATCAGCATCATCAGCAGCCTCAGTATCATCATCAGCAGCAGCATCAGCATCAGCAGCGCCACCGTCCTCATCATCATAAGCATCAGCATCATCATCATCGTCAGCATCATCCGCATCATCATCATATCGGGCATCACCATCATCAGTAGCAGCAGAAGCATCATCATCAGCATCAGCATAATCACCATCAGCATCGTCATCCTCACCATCAGCGTCATCATCATCATGATCAACACCATCATCATTGTGCTCCTCGTCTTCATCAACCTCATCACCAACATCATCATCACCATCACCATAACCGTCACTAGCAGCATCACCATCAGCAGCAGCAACATCATCATCATCGTGATCATCACTTACTCACTCACTCACTCACTCACTCACTCACTCACTCACTCACTCACTCGCTCACTCGCGCACTCGCTGGCTCGCTCACTCGCTCACTCGCTCGCTAACTCACTCACTTACTCATTCACTCACTCGCCACCACACCATGATCATCACCGTCACAAGCATCATCAGAATCATCAGCATCATCACCTCCACCATCATCCTCATGAGCATCCTCGAATCACCATCTCACACGAACCCATGAGCTCACTCACACTCTCACACACACACACGCACTCTCTATCTCTCTCTCTCTCTCTTTCTCTCTCTATCTCTCTCTCTCTCTCTCTCTCTCTCTCTCTCTCTCTATATATATGATATCACACTCGTCATCATGAGTCAGCATCGTCATCATCGCTAACTACTATCAGCATCATCATCATCATCATCAGCAGCAGCATCATCAGCATCATCAGCAGCATCATCATAGTCGTCGTCATCGTCATCATCAGCAGCATCAACATCATCATCATCATCATCATCATCATCATCATCATCATCATCATCATCACCAGCATCACTCATCACCACCATCAGATCACCACCATCACTATCATCATATCATCATAGTCATAATCGCCATCGACATCATCATCACACCCACATTCACTCACTCATTCGCTCACTCACTCACTCACTCACACACTCACAAACTCACACACTCACACGCTCGCACATTCTCACACTCATATTGAGGCAGTCTCGAGCGGGAGTCTCATCTGTAAGTTCGCCGGCCCAACGGGCCAGGGCGTGCTAAGATCTCCGGTACCTGGTTAACAGTATTTCTAGTTCGCGCGCGCGGGGCGGCCCCTGGGGGTCCCCGGACGAAAAGTACCCCGGCAAGGTCCGGGCAAGTCCCCGGCAAGTCCCAGCAGAGAAGAGATGCCGGAGCCCTGTTTTACAGGGCCCCGGGCGCGGCACAAGAGGTCCCCAAGAAAAGAAGCCTCCCAAGGACGGTCACCTAGAGGGGGGCCTCCGACGAGACCCCGACGACTGACGACGAGACGGCCAACAACAAAGATCGCCCGGGGGACCCCGTTGAACCGAAGACAGCCGAAGCCGCTCCAACAGAGGCCCCAACAACACAAGAGACACAGCCAATCCATACAACAAAGAGGCCTCCAAGACGCCCAAGGGGCCCTTCCCAAGAGGGCCTCCTAAGAGGACCTGTGGGCCAACGAGGGCCAACAAAATCGTTTTTTGGATTTTCATTGTTTTTTTTTCGATGTTTTTTGCGTTCTGGCTTTTTCGGCTTCCGGACGCTCCAAGACGGCCCAAGAGGCCCCCAAGACCGCTCCAAGACGGCCCTCGAGGCTCCCAAGACGGCCCCGGAACGGCCCAGGAGGGCCCCCAAGACGGCCCAAGTGCCGCCCAAGACGGACCAAGAGGCCCCAAGACGGGCCCAAGAGGGGCTCAAGAGGGGAACCGAGAACTGAAAAATCGAGCCCTCCGCCCAGAAGGCGCCCAGGAGGCCCCAAAAAGGCCCCAAGAGGCCCCCAAGAGGCCCCCAAGACGCCCCAAGAGGCGCCCAAGAGGCCCAAAAGAGGCCCCAAGAGGCCCAGCCCCCCAAATACGGCCCCCAACCCAAGAGGCCCCAAAACCGGCTAGCCCCCACAACAACGGTTTTGCGTGTTTGGGGCCATTTATGGAGGCCGGCGGATGCGGAGAACTCACCGGAGAAACGGATACGGAATGAGCGAAGCGATTTTTAAATAAAATTGCACGGAAAATACGGAAGTAAATAGTCTCAGCGGCAAAGCCCCTCCCCTTCCAAATGGGTCTTTAGCTTCTTGTTACTTTTAGTCAAAGCAGGTTATCCTAAAACCTGTAACTGTTGTCACTTTTGAGCTATCCCTAGGCTTTGGTGTAGTGGAGTATGTAGTGACTGGAGTATGGAGGATATTAAAGTCTCAGGCGGTGGGTGTGGAGTCGCCAGTGAGTAATTGCAGCTGAGAAGAGAAGGTCTAGGCGGGTGCCCCCCTTCCTACCCCCCTTCCTATTCGGCCCGCAACCTCCGCCAACCTCATGTTACTACTCGCAGCGGGTCATCCTCAAACCTGGAACTGACGGTTGCGAGTAGACATTTTGCGAGTAGTGGGACGCGCTCGGTGACTCCCTTGAATCCGATCCAAGACGGTCCCTGGACCCATCCAGGAGCTCATCCTAGCCCGACCTTCGTCATCCCGGATCGATGTTTGACGGTCCCACTGCCCGACATCGGCCCCCAGAGACAGAAGCCCCAAAAAAAGACTCCATCCTCCCCTGCCGCTGGAAGCCCCGAGTGCTGGTCATCATCCCTGAGTCTGCGTAAGTTTCCCATGATGGAACGCATGCCGGGGCTGCGGCCTCCATACCGTACCCTGATGGGCACTACGCCCGAATTGGTCACGGAAAAAATGGGCGCAGTGCCCAAACAGCAAACGTTGTCCCGAACCAACAGCGGGCGCGGTTGGGCAGGCGGCCTTCTGTCTCACACGGACACGGTCCGCGGCGACGCCGACAGCGAGCCCGCTTCAACATGGACAGGAACTGTTGTCAGTCTTCGTCCTCACTCTTTGCGTACCCACTTCCATCGCCCCGAGCAGTGTGGATGCCAAGTCCTATCATCGAATTAAAGATGTGTTTGAAATGTCGGAAAAAACGTCCTGGATATGCTTAAAGCATGTTTTTACATGTTTTGAACAGTCGTAACTCATGTTCTGGACACCTGCAAATTATTTGGCAACATGCTGCATCCTCTCCCTTGATCGCCCTCCACCACCCGAGCACAAGGCGCAGGCTCCAGGCGCTCCCTTGGGCGCCCGAGTTACCCCTGATGATGTGGGGCTCTGGACGCCCGAGTCATCCGGGGTAACTCGGGTCCGGGGTAACTCGGCTTGGATTCCCGAAAAACGGACCCGAGTTATCCCTGACCCGAGTTACCCCTGATGATGTGGGGCTCTGGACGCCCGAGTCATCCGGGGTAACTCGGGTCCGGGGTAACTCGGCTTGGATTCCCGAAAAACGGACCCGAGTTATCCCTGACCCGAGTTACCCCTGATGATTCGGGGCTCTGAGCTCCCCTGCCCTGCCCCGGACCTCTCTTGGGGTGCGTTCTGACCAGAATTTCGAGGCGAATCCAGCGGTGACAACGAGGATTCCCCAGGAGGGCCAGGAAAGGCCGAAAACGAAGGGGGACAACACGTATCCGTATCTTTTTCTCCCCCGATCCCCTGCCCTGCCCCCGCGCCTGCCCGGGTGTCTCAGCACCCTCACCGGCGGAGCGGCCCCGCCGCCGCCGGCGCCCGCGGACCTCCCGGCGCCGCCGCCGGCCGGCCGGCGCGCCGCCCGCCGTGGCCGCCGCCGCCGGCGGCGACCGCGGCGCCCACGAGGGCCGCAGCGACCACGAGGGTTCTCTCGGGGAGAGGTAAGTAGGGAACCGAACTCTAACGGGGATCTTCTGCCCCGGGTCAATCCAGACCCGGGTCAGATCCTGCAAGATCCCGCAGGATCCTGCAAGATCTGGCGCTCTGGCTGACCCCCGTTTGCATTGACGCCCGTCTCAAGGCTCCCGACTCTATACACCGACGCGTGTTTCGGGCCCGCTCCGAAGCTTGCAAGCCGTAAAGCGGATCATGGTGTATACGGGATCCGGGTGTATACATCTTCGTCGTTTCCCCCAAGGAAGCGGGGAAACGAGTACACACCACACCATCCAGACGTCGCACATCGACCCTCAAAAATCCTGGGATTGAAAAACAGCCCGCCACTGGTAATGCATATGTTCCAGCTTCCGAGTAAGACTCAGGTTCGGGGGACTCGGGTTGGCCTGACGAGCCCATCATGAAAATGACTAGACTCACCCCAAAATTTGACGCGAACTCCCGCTGCAAACACCCCACGAAACCTGGACCGTCAGAGTCCAAGACGCGCCTCGTCCAAAAGCGTCGGCAAACCTCCGAGTTCCGGCTTACTCGAGTCTTACGTTTCCCCGACATTCAGGCGTTTCTGCGCGTCCTCCTCGTCGCCACGGGCGGACATGGTTTGAAAAACTGTACTGGATGCATTTCGGGAGGGATCTGGGGGCCGACTCCGGGCCGAGTTTGTATCCCGACGACGACCACCACAACCACGACGAGGACCACCACCACCACGAAGTCGACGAAGGCACTTTGAAGTTCGATTCGAGGCTGCTGTCTTCGTTCGCCTTTCCCTGGTCTCCAGGGCTTTTCGTTGCCACGGCTGGCTTCGCCTCGACATTCTGGACAGAGCGCATTCCTCGAGAGGTCTGGGGGGGGGGGGGGCGAATTTGTGAGGGGACGACCACATCGAGGGAGAGTACATGTTCGGTGCAACAGGCAGCGCATGAAAGGTGCCTGAGGTAAAGAGTAAGCAACCTCGAGCGGACACGAGGAGGGATGACAAGAAGGGGCGGGCAGACGAGGCGCTGCCCGACGGCGATGTGCGCGGCAGCCCCAGCACGAACACGTCGTCGCAACACTATCACGACGACGTTGTCGCCGCACTGCCCAGAAGGTGTCGTCCAAGTGTCAAGTCCCCCGTCGTGTCTGCTCGCTGGTGCGACGCTCAAAGGCGAATCACGCGCCTGGACCGACAGCGCTGTGCGCCCCAGCGGGGCCACCGGTGCAGCAGCCCGCATACCTCCACACTTGACGCAGGGATCCGCTGCAGCGCGCCGCAGGCGGTTCGTTGCTTGGTAGACCGCCTACACCGCAAGCGCTGCCCAGAGTTTGTTTTCGACGTTAGTGCCCGTCCCCACCAAGAGACAACTGGACCGCGTGGAAACAACGCCTACACCTGAGTCCGGGCGTCCTGACAGACGCTAAACTGCATCGCAAACGGAATAGTGTTGCAGACTGCGGGGCCCTTGATCGCATTCGAGCAACGAGCGAGCAAATGCATCTTGACTGGTTAGTGTCAGCATGATGGATGCGGCGGCGACCGACGCATCCATTCACGAAAGCACGAAGGCATGCTGCTGCAACCTGAGACAGGCTCCCTGTATGCGTGATTGCAAAGTTCGAGCAGGTACTTCCAAAAATGGCTGCGCCAATTCCTGGACATGTCCACCTGCACACGCGCCGCAACCGTTGGCCCCGATTGCAACATGTTGGTCCTGGCCTACAAAATGGCCACCGCTTGAAACACCGCCTGACCTGGTAAAGAAAACAACGGAGATCACCCGTCGAACCGGTGCACGAGTGATGCCCACGTTCCCAAGCTGCTCTTGACAATCCCAAGATAGTCCCTGCAGCATGACATTGTCCAAGGATGCGGGCGCTGCAAGGCATCTTTTGCAGCCTGAACATTATCTGCAAGGTTCGCCAAAAAATGAAAATCAAACGTCCTCCTCCTCTGTACCTAATCCAGTAGGCGAAAGCCCAGTCCATTGGTCTGGGCGCAAGCAAATTTCCTGAGAGCCCGTGCAAACAAATTCGTGAAGTCATCCGTCAATCCCACCAGCCACATCAGGTAAAAAGAGCCAGCGACGACGGATACGAAAAGATTGAGTGACGCTCGAACAGCTAAACGCTCGCGTGAGTTCTCCACGACTCTTTGCCCGTGACTGCAGCCCTACACCAGGAACGGTCCAGAAGCCATGTGCTTGCCCTGCAGCGCCGATGTGGATTTCCCGACAAGCAGGAGCATGACACTCTTCAGGAGGGCCTCTAGAGGCCTCCTGGAGAGAATCCGAGTAGATGGGGTCGGAGGACCGCGCCACATCGCCGATACACCAGAGGTGCACCCGCGATGCGTCGGCGACGCATCGGCGACGTCGACGTGAAGCAAAATGGGCCCCGCGTCGAGCCGCATCGCTGAGATGCATCGCCGATCGCAACGGCGCACGCGGCGCGAGCCTCCGACCCCACCTGCGCGGACCCCCTCTGGGGAGGCCTGGAGCCTCGAGGAGCCCAGCGCGCTGACGGCCCTCTGGTGCTCTTCAGCGCTGGGTGCTTCCCAGTCGCCGATCTGGGGGGAGGACGAGGAGGGTGAGGAGGAGAGACGTCCGTGCCCTCACCAGATCGCTGTTGGCGTCCTCGGGTCGGCCTCCGCTGCTTGCTCTGCCCCCCCCCCAGACGCCCCCGCGCTGCGACAAAAAAGCGCGAGGGCGTGCTCGGTCGCGGCTCGCGGTCCGCCTGCGGCCGCCGAGGGCCCGGTGAGAGCCCTGGAGGGGGGGGGCCCCCCCGGTCGGCCCAGGGCGGCCCCGGCGGAGCCCCAAAGCTGGACTGCGGAGGGGGCGGGGGTGCCCCGGGGACCGCTGGAGCGCGCCCCGGGGGGGACGGAGGGCCCCAAGACAGGCCAGGAGGGCCCCAAGAGGCCCCCCAGACGGTCCAGGAGGGCCGCGAGCCGCGGGAAGATCGATCCCAAACGCTCACGCTGGCCTGCGGGCGGCCCAAGAGGCCCCCAAGTCGCCACAAGAAGCCCCCAAGAGGCGCCCCACACGGCCTCAAACAGCAACAATCGTCCCATTCCCTTAGGAAAACGTGCATGTGTACCACATTCGCATCTGGTAGGTTCACAACGTCCAAGACGGCCCAAGAAGTATTCTAGATCGCCCCAAGACGGCCCAAGAGGGCTCCTAGACGACCCAAGAGGGGCCCAAGACCGCCCAAGAAACTAAAAGACGGCACAGGTGGGCCCCAGGACAGCCCCAAAAGGGGCCCAGAGGGGAACCCGAACGGACACTTCGAGCCTTCGACCCCAAGACGCCCCCCTGTTGCCAAGAAGCCCCAACAGGCCCCCCCAGGGCCCCAAAAAAGCCCCCAGGAGGCCCCCTGGTCCCCAAGAGGTTCAAAAACTGCCCCCCAAACGCCTCCGAGACGCCTCCCACGAAACACCATCTGCCATCCGAGTGGCCCTCTTCGATCTAGCATTGATGCACACACACACACACACATGTGAACAAACATTCATGAACATACAGATGTGCGAAAGTGCATGTTCCAGTTACTGGAAAATGCACTTTCGCACACATGTATCACTGAGTAACACAGATGACCATGCCATCTGTGTTACTGAGTAAATCAGATGGCATGAACCGTACACTTCTCACAATGGCATTGAAGTGCATTCCAAATGATGTGAACGCAAGAGTCCGCTCCTGAGTCGTCAAATGCTCGACTCTTGGCGCGGCAGCCTTCTCCATCTTCCATCTATCCCCCGTTGATCCCAACATGCCGCTTCGCTGTGCCCACCTCTCGATATTCCTCTCTACCCCTCCCCATGCAACCCTTTCGGGGTAGCGTTGCCAGCGATATGCTTAGTCAGGCACGCGCGCAACGACACCAACTGATCCTTCGCTGGGCGCAAAGCCGGGGATGCCGACACGTGTTCGTCGAGGGCAAGGAGGATAGCAACGACGCGACGACGACGACGACAACGACGACGACAAACCGCAGCTTAAATATCATGCCTTCGGGGGTCAGCGTGGATTGCTTGGGTCAGCGCTGGACCCCCTCCTCACGTGCCTGACGGCGGCCCCGCGCGCCAGGCATGGGGCGCAGGGAGGCGGGGGTCCAGCGATGGCCCCAAAAATCGCGCGGGCTATTCGAAAGTCCACTCAGGTGTCGTTTGCTCAGTGTTGGTCTGGGGGAGGCTGGACATGAAGAGCAGGAGACGATGGAGAAACGAACGAGCGAACCGCCTCGGCGGACAGGTGCCCGGGCCTGAATCAACCCGGGTGGGCGCGGGGCCACGGCCTCTTGGATATATGACTGCGAGACGACCACCAAGTTTTGACAGAGGAATGTCGAGGAGGAGGAGGAGGAGGAGGAGGAGGAGGAGAACCATCTGTCGACGAGGTGCCGTCATGCGAGATCTCTGCACTGGTGCTCGCGTCTCGACCAAGGGGAGGTGTCTTGAGGCACGCGAGCCCACGTGAGGCCATCCGGCTGGCCTTGCGCACTGGCTGGTGTTGGCCCTGGATGCGGCTCGGCTCCGCGCTGCTGGCAGAGCGTGATGGCGGCGTCGCCCCAACGTTTGCGCCCGCCGCCGTGCTGTCGCTGGCCGCGTTCCTCGGGGGCTGTCTCCCGGATGCCACTGGAGCGCGCGCCACGTCGATCTCGTGGGCTCGTGCTGGGCAACCCTTGGGAGGACGAGGAGGAGGAGGAGGAGGAGGAGGAGGAGGAGGAGGAGGAGGAGGAGGAGGAGGAGGGGGGGGAGGAGGAGGCGGAGGAGGGACGAGGAGGAGGAGAGGAGGGGGGGAGGAGGAGGAGAGAGAGGGGGGGAGGAGGAGGAGGAGAGGGAGTAGGAGGAGGAGGAGGAGGAGGGGAAGGAAAGTGGAGGGGTGGAGAGGAAGGAGGGGGAGGAGCAGGAGGAGGAGGAGGAGGAGGAGGAGGAGGCGTGGTGGTGCAGCAAGAGCTGCTGTGCGAGCCGCGTGGCTCGCGGGAGGTCATCGACCCACGGTTCCATCGTGTCCTCCTCACGGTTGTCATCGCTGCTCTCGCTGTGCCGATGGGCCGTGCTTCGTTGAGGTGTGTTGCTGCCTGCGTCGTCGATGCCGCTGGGCGCGCTGTGATGGTTGGTCAGGTGCTTCGTGAGTCGCACCGTCGTCCGCATCACCTTGGCTACTGCGAGAGATCGCTTGGTGGGCATTGCGTCGCCTTCTTATGATCATCGTGCGGAGCAGGTGTTGCTGGAGGGGTACCTTGCGTCGGCTCGTTGTAGTGCTGCAGGTGTTACTGTGCAGTTGATATGCTGGAGTCGGTGCGCCAGTGAGTAGTGCTTGCTGGCCAGTTCCTGCTTGCACGAAGTGAGCGACGCCGATGCAGCCATGCAGCTCTCGTGCGGTGGTAGAACAAAAAAGTACAGTCATCGGCCTGACCTGAGGAACGATAAATAAGGAACAAAGCCACTGTTTTCCGAGGAAAAAACATAAGGAACTATCAATAATGAAAAACGCATAAGGAAGGATACGTAACGCATGCAAGCCTTAAGGAACGACCAAGCCCCGTTTGAAAAGTAAGTGTTCCTTACTCAAGCCGCTCACTGTAACGAGGATGAGGAGAGAAGAGGAGGAGCCGGAGGAGGAGGGGTGGACAGCGATCCCGACAGGGACCGCGCCGCGATGACAGCGGCACTGCTTCCTGACACCGCGGGAACCTTCCGATGCGGCTCTCGGACAGCGCAGATCGTTCCGTCTCTCGGCCGTGTCTGGGCCGCTGGCGGCGTCCGGCCTGGAACGCCCGCGCGGGGGTCGCCGCAGCGTCGGCGCGGCGCGAACCCGCCGCAACGGTGCGTTGGGGATTCCTCCAGGGCTGCCAGGCGCGAGCGAAGGGGTCCCGGGACACACAAGTAAGTAGACACAAATAACAGCCCCCCGAGGCCCCCACGAGGCTTCCAAGCGACCCCTAAGAGCTTCCCAAGAGGCCCACAAACTACCCCCAAGAGGCCCCCAAGAGCGCTCGTCGTCGTCGTCGTCGTCGTCGTCGTCGTCGTCGTCGCCATTCAGGGTCGGCGGCACCGGCCGTAAGGCCTTCGCAATAGACACAAATAACAGGATTCCCCATACATTTCCGCACAGTTCCCGGATTTTCGTCTTCCCCCCCCCACTTCCCATGTGTTCCCATGCTTTTTCTGGGGAATCGACGATAAATTGTGTCTGTGTGCGTTTTTGTTCCCTCCTGAGGTGTGCTCAGTGTTCCCCCAGGGCTGCCAGGCGTGAGGGAGGGAGGCCGGCGAGACCGTTGCCGCTTGCCCGCGGCCGACGCCGACGCGGCCCGCACCCACCGCAGCTGCCCGAGAGGCGCAGGGGTGCGGGCACCGGGACGACACCCCGCGACTCTCTGGGCACCTTCTCACGGAGAGTCCTCGGTGAAAGGCCGCTGGAGGCCGCTGGATTTGGACGCCCGAAATCGGGATGCACAGAGACATACTAGTACGATATGTTTTCCTTCGAGGCGCGCGTCCGACCCAAACATGTAGTATGCCCATCTCGTAGCATGTCGTTTCCCGAGCGGTGTGGCCAGAATGCGCCCGCCACGACGCACACTACGAGATTTCTCGGTGCGCGCATCGCCCCCGGGGGGGCGACGCACCAATAGTAGAAGTATGTTGGGGTGACGCCGAGAGATGGACACGGGAAAAAAATGGGTACGATGCCCAGCAGATGGTTTCCAAGGCCGCTGCTGGGCAGGCGGCCTCCTGTCGAAAGCCTCGCATGCGCGGCGCCCGCGGCGGCACCGACAGCGAGTTCCGTGCTGACTACCTACCAGACCACCCCAACCCAACCCGAAGACCGCAATTTCGGGTAGGGGGGGTACGGGTTCCATATGTGTTTTTTCATTGTTCTCCGACCCCCCCACCCGAAATGGAGGGCAAATTGAGGCCTTCGGGTTGGGTTGGGGTGGTTTGGTGGGCGGTGACGTGCAGGATGGGCAGGGGATGCCGACGGATGTCGCGCCGTACCCTTTTCGATCGTACTGACTGAAGGCCGCGGGAGGCCGCCGAGGGCCGCCGAGGGCCAACGCAGACGGCTCCCAGGGCGACGCCCGGGCCGGCGCGGCGCCGGCGGCGCCGCGCCGACACTGGCGAGAGCGAGCCCCGCGCGCGCTGCGCGGGGCAGCATGACGGCACGAGAGAGGCCTCTCCGCGATGTCGACCCTCGTTGGACAGGGATAAATCGGGGATCTCTGAGATCAGGCGGTTCTGCAGCATGCCGCGGGCGCCGCGGGCTTCCCAGAGCTTGCCGCACGCTCTGAAAAAGATCCGAAGCGCTCTGGAACGAATTCACCCGTCCTGGCTAGAGGCCTCCTAGATGGGGCCCAAGCAGGTGGGGTGGGAGGATTGCACCACATCGCCGATGCATCGGCGACGTCGGCGTCGAGAAAATCGGGCTCCACATCGAGCCGCATCGCCGATGCATCGGCGATGCCTCGGCGATGCGGCGCGATCCTCCAAGCCCCCCTGCTCCGACCCCATCTGGGAGGCCCTGACGTGGGCACACCGTCCAGACATCGAGCGCCTCGGACAAAAAGAATCGAGGCGGCCAGACGGTCGGCAGTGCGGGGCCTCTGAAAGCTAGACTTGCGCATCCCGGCCGTGACGAGGCAAATCGGGCAGAGAAGAATTAGACATAAGAGGAACCCCAACCCTTTGGGAGGCGACCTGAGTTAGGAGAGTCAGAAACATCAGGGATACCCTCGACCAGGATAGTAAGGATGCGCGGTAAGGATGCAGGGGCGTTGCAACGCCATGTGACGTTTTCCGTGCGGAGCGCAGCATAATGCCGAAGGATGCCGAATACCGAAGGGGCAAGGAGGCAAGGGTAGTCTTGGAAAGTTACCCCATCCTTACTATCATGGTTGACGGTGAGAGGACCCCTAACCCTTTGGGAGGCGGCCTAAGTTAGGAGGGTCAGAAACATCAGGGATCCTGGTTGTTGTTTGTCCACAAATGTGTCGAACCATACCGCCCAGATCTGCGATCTCTGCTGCAAGCACGGGGCCCTCAGTCAGGCCGCGTCTTCACTCCCTTCACCAGGGTTAGGGGCTCTTTCATCCTCGATGAGAGAGGCCTGGCCTTGGGGACGGGGTCGAGAGGTCCATGATGGGTATGCTTTCCACCACCACCACCATAAGTTGGAGGGGGAGAGGGTCCTCCTCCTCCTCCTCTCTCTCATACTCCTATCCTCCTCCTCCTCCTCCTCCCCCTCCTCCCCCCTCCCCCTCCAACTTATGGTGGTGGTGGTGGAAGACAGGCCCATCAGTCCAGGGGGCCACGCCTTGAAGAGCGTCGAAGCGCCAGGCGCCCCCGCCCCCGCCTGGTCGCCCTGTCGCTTCCAGAGGAGCTCGCACGCCTCACAAACCTGCGGAGGGCCTGCAATGGGGCGAGCCGATCTTCGGCGGCGAGGCTGCTGCCGCGACCGTCGGCGTATGCGCTTGCGCTGCTTCCTTCTGGAGGTCGTCGATGATATCGTCGAGGTCAGCGTCCAGTCGGCGTCGAGCCTGGGGGCAAACGAGAAGGGGCGGGCCTTCTCAGAAGGCTCGGAGATCTCCTGGCCTCCTGAGAGGCTTTCTAAGCCTTCCCCGAAGACATGGAAAACTTCTCAGAAGGCGCGAAGGCTCCTGAGAAGTCCCGCCGCCTTCTGAGAAGGCCTTCTCCTCTTCATTTCCCCCCCTCGCTCGCCACCAAGATCTCGCCGAAAGGCCTGAGATCGACGCTCGTAGAGCTCAGTGCACAGACGCCGGGCCGAGGGGCGCTGCTGCTGCGGCTGCGGCCTGAGTGTGCTCAGGGCCCCTACCGTCCACGGGAGCTCGTTCAAGGGCGCACTGGGCGCGCACTCGTCGCGTCAGAGGGCGCAGGGGAAGTGCGACGGGAGCCCCCCCCCCCTCCACTCGGCCAGTGGCCGGCACAAAGAGGCTCTGGCCAAAAGTGGCCGCTCCTAAGGAGAGGGAAGCACTTTTTGAGGTTCCGCGGAACTCGGCCTCAGAAAACGTCCTGCGCCCCGACCTGACAGAGTCTTCGAGCAGGGTTCAGCCAAGGCGCCGAAAGGACACCCTGGAACCACGAAAAGAAACTGAGGCATGCGGGAACAAGCGGGGAAACCCTCGGGATACTTCCGAGATCAGCCGAGGTCTCGCCAAATCAGGCGCGGCCAAGGAGGTCCTTGTCAGCCGTGTGCATCATGCGCAGCACGCCCCGCGTGTCCTGGTCGAGGCTGGAGACGCTCGCGCCTCTGGGGGGAAGCCCATGAGCCGGCGAGCGCGCCCGAGGCAGGAGAAGGGGGGAGCGAGAGAGAGGCGGCAGGCGGGCAGAGACCCCCCAGAAGGTGAGAGGACTCCAAGCGTTCGCGCGCCAAGAGGACCCAAGTGGCAAGACCATGGCTAACGGCGGGGCGCCCGGATTACTCGCATGTGTGCGCGCACGTGTCTCTCCAGATGTCTGTCGAGCGGATGCGCCGCAACACGTCGGGTGCCCGAACCGGATGCGGCGAAAGCTGCTTCGATGCCGGCGCTGCTTTCACGAAAGATGAGCGTACAGTAAGGTGGTCGTGCTTTTGCTCCAGCTCCTGCTGTTATCATTTCTCTCAAGCTCAGGGTGCGGCGTGAAGCTATTTGGGACAGACATCGTCTGGTTTATATCATATCCTATCCCTATCCGATCCTCCTCCTCATCATCATTAGCATCAGCATCATCATTATCATCATCATCATCATCATCATCATCATCATCATCATCATCATCATCATCATCATCATCATCAGCATCATCATCATCTTCATCATCATCATCAGAAGCAGCAGCAGCAGCATCAGCACCAGCATCAGCATCAGCATCAATAGCAGCATCATCAGCATCATCATCAGCATCATCAGCATCATCCTCATCCTCATCCTCATCCTTATCAGCCTTCTTCATCATCATCACCGTCAGCATCACCATCAGCACCATCATCATACGCAGCAGCATCAGCATCATCGTAATCAGCATCATCATCATCATCATCTTCATCATCATCATCATCAGAAGCAGCAGCAGCAGCATCATCATCGTCATCGTCATCGTCATCAGCATCGTCGTCATCATCATAATCAGCATCGTCGTCGTCATCATCATCATCATCATCAGCAGCAGCATCATCATCAGCATCATCACAATCCACCTCTTCCTCCTCCTCCTCCTCCAACTCCTCCTCCTCCTCCTCATCCCCCGCCCCCACCTCACCATCCTCCTGATGTTTGTCGTCCTCTATACGTTCTGCCTTATCATGCTTCTTGTAGGCGCCTGCTCATCCGTCATGCACCTGGATTTGAGAAACCAAAGAGACACCGATACTGCCACTCCACAGACCCATCCCAGGCCCGTCCTGACCAGGATTCCGAGGCGAATCTTGCCGTGGCGGCGACGGCCACCCAGGGGGCCCTCAAAGGCGACAAGAGTGGAGAGGTAGGGGGCAGCGGTATCGGTGGATTATCTTCCTCTGATGGGTCCCAAATCGCCGACATCACAATTTGTTCGCAACGTTGAACCCGCGATGTAACGACCACTTCCCTAGGGCCTGCGTTCACCCTGAGTCGTTTTTGTCACTGCCCCTGGGCCAAGAAAGAGCCGACAGCGACCGAAAATTTGAAAAAACTGTCCGCTCTGATACTTTGACGACACGATGGAGGGCAAGGTTGTTCCGACCCGCGAACCAGTGCTAGGTTGGCTCCCGGCATTGCCACCGCGACCTCATCCTCCTCCTCCTCCTCCTCCTCCTCTCCTCCTCCTCCTCCTCCTCCTCCTCCTCCTCCTCCTCCTCCGCCTCCTCCTCCTCCTCCTCCTCCTCCTCCTCCTCCTCCTCCTCCTCCTCCCTCCTCCTCCTCCTCCTCCTCCTCCTCCTCCTCCTCCTCCTCCTCCGCCTTCTCCTTGTCAGAACTATCCTCCCTGAATTCTTCCTTCCCATGATCCGCCTAGGTAGGCACATCTAGGAACCTCCTCATTCGCCACTGCACGGCAGCATGTCAACCCTGCCCTGCACATTCTGGTCCAAGTCACGGAGGAGGCCGAGAACACCGATGGGTGTCGAGAGGCTGCGAGCAAGAACGAACGAAATGAACCCCCACTGGCGAACAGCTACCGTCACGAGCAACGAACACATGCATGCCGTTTTGTTGCATGTGCAAGCGTAACATCGTGTACACATATATACATATATATATATATATATATGTATATATATATATATATACCACAGATATACATTAAACAAAAAACTGTGTGCATGTCTATACAAACAAATGTATAGATCTATGCCCTCCTAGTCTCCGTCTCCTGATCTGGACACGCACGCGCGATCCAAAGCCGGCATCTACGCATGGGATCGCGGCTGAAGCGTCTGGACCCCGCGGCCGTGGATATGGATGCGCTGGTCTCCCGCCCACGATACTGGTCCGAAGCGATGGATAGCGGGGGCGAGGCTCGGACTCCGTCACTGACTCATACACCCAGGTCGCTCCGGCCCGCGCACCCGTGCCAGGTCGGCTCCCAGCAGCGCCGCCAGTGCCAGGTCGGCTCCCGGCAGCGCCACCGCCACCGACGACGACATCCCCGTCCGTGATGTCTTCGCAGATCTCCTCTCGCGCGGGGGCGTGGGTGGGGGCCGCTGCCTCCGCTTCGCCGTTCCGTACAGACGCTTGGGCAAAAGGGCTGAGCAGTGCCCATGCTGCCTGCCTTCCTAATCCCCTTTCCGCCCTCGTCCCTCCGACTTCCCTTCTCCTCCTTCTCCTCCTCCTCCTCCTCTTACTCCTCTTCCTCCTCCTCCTCCTCCTCCTCCTCCTCCTCCTCCTCCTCCTCCTCCTCCTCCTCCTCCTCCTCCTCCTCCTCCTCCTCTGTCCTCCTCCGTCATCATCCGTCCTCCTCCTCCTTCGCCTCCTCCTTTCTCCTCCTCCCTCGCCGGTCCTCGCCACCATCATCCTCATCATCATCATCATCATCATCATCATCATCATCATCATCATCATCATCATCATCATCATCCTCAGCATCATCATCATCATCATCATCATCATCATCATCATCATCATCATCATCATCATCATCAGCATCATCATCACCATCATCATAATGATCATCGTCATCATCATCATCATCATCATCATCATCATCATCATCATAATCATCATCATCATCATCATCATCATCATCATCATCATCATCATCATCATCATCATCATCACCGTCATCGACACCGAAGCACGTTCCATGTAAGACCAACCGGTGCTGGCAGTTCTGATTGACCGCCTCGAGGCCGGTGATTCTTGGTGTTCAACCAGCGACAAAGCCCTGACTAATCACAAGGCCTCGGGATTGACGGAGAGTAGCACGGAAAAGGAGGAGGACGATGATGAGGACAAGCCAGATTCTTCATGGATGAACTACTGCTGGCCAGCCACAACATCGGCCTGACAAAAATGATGTGTGATGTAGTCGTGGCCTCCATTCTCGCATGCACCAATCGACTGCGATCGATCTTGGGCGCAACATTGCTGATGGTAAACATTCGGAGACCAAAAAATACAGGTACCGGTGCTCCCCAGACCTCGCCTGGGGTGCTTTCTGACCATGATTTCGAAGCGAACCCAACGGTGGCGACGAGGCTTCCAAAGAGGCCTAAAAAGAGGAAATCGAGGGAAGGGTAGCGTCATCGGTACCATTTTCTCCTCCGAATCCAAGCTAAGCTCACCGCCAAGCTCGGCCAGTGCGCAAGTCCCGAGGAGGATCACAGTTCGCCCTCTGCCGCCAACCTGGGAGCGGACGTCACTGCAGGTGCCAGGCTAAGAAATCCCGCGCCGTGCCTGCACGGAGTGGGCATGTTAGAATGCTCGTCGGTTGTTTCGGAGGTTATCTACAGTTTTCTAGGGCGGCCCCCCATCGCAAGCACCCCTTCTGATATCGCCCCCCTCGAAATTATTTTATGGTGGTGTGTTTGGCCTCGAGACGGCCAAGATGGCGCCCAAGATGGCTTCCAAGACAGCCAAGATGACACCAAAACACTCCAAAATGCCCGAAGACGGCTCAAGAGGCTGCCAAGATTGCCTTAAGACAACCGAAGGAGCGCGATCCACCGCGGCTATGCTGAAAAATTCCTTGGGGGGTCAAAGAACTGGGGGCCTCTCCTCCCCCCACGAAAAAAATCCCTGATGAGGGGAGTCCCCGAGAGGCGCCCAGGAGGCCCCAGGAGGCCCCAACAGGGCCCCAGAGGCCTCCAAAGAGGCCCCCAATAGACCCCCAAGAAGCCCCAAGAAGCTCTCCGAGGCACCCAAGACCTGGCAGGCCCCACACGGCGAAGTATAGGACGACCAACCAACTATTCCAACAAATACAGAATCATAGGTGTGTTTTTTACAAGGGGACCTGCGGCTTCAAGGCCCATGGTAACTTCCACAAATGGCGCCGTTGAAGCCGTGGATCCCCTTGTAAAGAGCACGCGGTTTCTCCACGGTTTATTCGCAGTCACACGGGCGTGGAACACGCAACTATGTTATCATCTCGAGCGTCACGCAGCACCGAAAAGCACGACGGAGGAGGAGGAGGAGGAGGGGGAGGAGAGGGAGGAGTTCCGCCCATCGCTGGACCCCACTCCCGCCATGATTCCTCCTCTCGACACTCTTCGCTACCCCTAAACATGTTTACTATATACACGCGCGCCAGTCGGAAGAATAATAGGTAGAAGCATGAAGTAGGAAGACGGCCGAAGCAGATTGGGCCCAGGCCCGCCCGAAAAACATCAAACGACATCAACGAACATCGATTCGTGAAGTAGGAAGGCGCTTGAAGTATATTGGGATATGGGAATCCTACTTTCAACGACGGGCGGGCACGACATACCACGAGACACATGGCAAGACAACGGCAATGATGGCGAGACTTCTTTCCACCTCACCTCATGCGATGCGCGCCGAGCCGCGCCTCCCTCGGTTCTCGGAGCCAAAATCAGAGCTCGCCCCCGAGCTCGCACGCGCCGACGCTGGCGTCGGTGCTGGTGTAGCCGCTGGCGTAGGTGCTGGTGTAGGCGCTGGCGTTGCCAGTGCTGGCGTAGGTGCCGGTGTAGGCGCAGGCGTTGCCGGTGCTGGCGTAGGTGCTGGTGTAGGCGCTGGCGTTGCCGGCGCTGGCGAAGGTGCTGTCGTAGGCTACTGGCCCATCTTGTCCAGCACCTTCTGGACGATGGCGGGCAGCGGGATGCCGTCCTCGGCGGCGCGCGTGTCCGGTGACCCCCCCCAAGGTGCATCCCTCGGTTGGCCCGTATCCTCATTCCCCTGCTGTCCCTGATCCCCCGTGCCCCCTGACTGAATGTGCACGGATCAGAACGAGCATGAGAAAGGAGGATCGGCGTGGACGAATTCCGAGGGTTGCATGGCAGAGTTTCTGTTGTCTCCTAGGGGCCCTACTCCCAAGGGGTCCTGAGCGGCCATGGGCGTCTCCCTGGGGGCTCTCCCAGGCTCCCATGACGGCCCAAGAAGGCCACCCGGGCCGCCATGATGGCCCAAGATGCGTCCAAGACGTCCAGGATGGCCTCCAATTGCGCGGATTTTCGTACAACTACAGGGGCCCCGCGTAATCATGCAAGCAGCCGTCGTCGTCCGTCGTCGTCGTCGTCGTCGTCGTCCGTCGTCGCGACCCCGCGCCCCGCGCACTTGGAGCGATCTTGGGCGCCTATTGGGTCGTCATGAGCCGCCGTCGTCCGTCGTCGTCGTCGTTCGGGCAAGGGTGGCCCTGCATTCTGGTGAATGCAGGGGGCCCCGCGGCAACCCTTACCCGGGCGACATCGCCTCGTTTCGTAATCGGTTTCTCTTCCCCCATCCTCCCCCGCCCCCCTCCTCGGTCCTTGCAGCCGATGTTCTTCTTGGACAGGGCCACCCTGATCTTGCCCGCGTGGATCTTGAGGTCATCGGGCTTCTCGGGCTTGAAGTTCGCAATCTCGTCGACGGTCCAGCTGACCGCCACGGCCAGGCGGCCGCGACGCCGGGATTGCGCCAAGAGACTGCGACCTACCCAAAACGGAGGGGACCGCCAAGGGCTGGGGTGGACGACGGACGAGGGACGACGACGAAGACCGACGACGACGAAACAGCTCGGATCTCCCATGGTGGGCGTGGTCGAGTCCCCCCACAGTAGGCTAAAGCAACGATGGGAGCTCCGAGCCATTTCGTCGTCGTCGGTCTTCGTCGTCGTCGTCCCTCGTCCGTCGTATTTCTATGTGTTCCTCCTCCTCCTCCCCCCCCTCCTCCTCCCCCTCCCCCATCCTCCTCCTCCTCCCCCTCCCCGCCTCTCCGCGGAACGGATCCCCCCTGGCAGCCGCCCCCCCCACCGCAGGCAGTTGCTTTAACCTACCGTGGGAGGACGACCAAGCCCTCAATGGGAGCTCCGAGCCGTTCCGCCGTCGTCGGTGTTCGTCGTCGCCCCTCGTTCGTCGCATGTATATACATATATATATATATATATATATATTCCCTCTTCCTCCTCCTCCTCCTCCTCCTCCTCCTCCTCCTCATCATCATCATCATCATCATCTTTCCGTGGAACGGAACCCCCGCGGCCGCCGCCCCCCCGCGGCAGCCGGTGGGCGCGGTCGTCCTCCCACGGTAGGCTAAAGCAACTGCTTCGCCGCGGGGGTCGGCAGCAAGGGGGGGGGTCCGTTCCACGGAGAGGGAAAGAGGAGGCGTGGTCGATTCAACTTCCCCCCGCCCCCGCGCAACCTGACTTCTGCTGGCCGGCGAGCGCGCTCTCCATCTTGCTGTACGCGCCCAAGACGGAAGTGGCCTGCACGACGAAGCCCTTGTCCTTCACGATGGCGGTCATCTCCACTGGGCCCCGCGCCGCGGGGAAGGTTATGGCGCAATGTACTGTCATTCTTATTGCATGACCAGGAGTTGTTCTCCTTTCCGCTTGTTGCCGACCTTACGCCTGAACGTTTGTTTTTGTTTGCGGCATGGGAGGGCCGAGGCGCATTGGCCATGCAACCGTGCAAATTGGTTGGTTATTGCGTGAACAATGTTAATAACACGTCAGTGCTGCAGTGTCCGAAACCTGAGGCACCACGGTCCCGGGCCGTCTCAGGCCCCCCGGGCTCGCGAACCCAGGGCCCGCAACTTCCGAGGACCCTCGGACCCTCCGGCGGGGGATGCGGAAGTGGCATGGTGCCCGAGCTATCGCGCAAGGTCTTCTGCAAGCCCTCGTCAGAAACAATCTTCGGGTCATCCAAGAGGCTCCGCGGGGGCGCAGCAGAGAGGATATCCTTCGACAAACGCTGGCACATCCTGTCAACGTTGTCGGCGAAGCCCTTCCACCACTTGCTCAGAACCTGTAGGCCCCGAATGCCACGAATCACCCCCGACAGAAGATGGGGCAGGATACCATGCTGGACAAGCTCTGGCACCGTGGATCCCCCCTGATTCTATTCGACCGTCGGTCGAGTGAAACGCCCTGGCACCGTGGACCCAAAGCTTCTGATTCTATTCGACCGAGGGTCGGATGACGAGCTCTGGCACCGTGGACCCCCCTTCCCCGATTCTATTCGACCGTCGGACGAATGAGAGAGAAAGAGAGAGGGAGAGAGGAGGTGAGGACGGAGGGA